TCCCTTGGGAACAAACAGACTTTGCCTTACAGGTGCAACTCAGCTCACTAACTTCTTAGTTGACACTAATTAAAGTGTAATAAAAAAAACAGTTACTGTGTTAACTTCACTGCCAATATGAACTAATTTCCCATGAAAGGGACAGATCATTTGATGAGTTTTGGTTCAACTGACCTCGAAGTTGAAACATCTGCTGAGACTTTTATCAAAAGGAGTATTACTCCCAGGATGGGTTCCCATGCAGATAACACATTTGAAAGAACCCTTTGTTTAATGACATTTACTTTTCAGGGGATGGACAGCGACACCTTTTGGAGAAACATCACCTGCTATTAACCTCAAAATGGAATTTTCTGTAAATCTTCAGAACTGAATGTTTATTTATGAAAATTTGTGTTTTAAGTAATCTCTCTTTAAGATAATCATTTGTTTTATTTGTCTCTTTTGAAAGAGTAACTTTTAAAGGCAGACAGAGAAAATGGACTTTAGATTTTATAAAACATGACAGGAGTTAGGACCATCCCTCTTCCGAGAGGTGGACTAAAGTCAATCTGAAACACACAGACAGTTAAGTTACGTTTCACTTCTTCTACCAGCAATTCAAGCACATTTACTTCTCAACTTCTGCTACACGCTTCTGGAGCTCAGAACTGAAGAAACCCACATTTCTGCACTGAACTCAGAGAGGAGAGAAGCATCCTTTCTGCACAGAGTGGTAAATCCCAGCTGACTTCAGAGCCAGTGGCCGGACCTTCGTCCCCCCAACTGATGGTAGGTGACTTTTGAGGAAAAATCAACCTTTCAGTCACCGGAGCATCTCAGGCCTTGCTGGTATCATTTTAAGCAACTGTGGAACATTCTGACATCTCGTTCTGGTGAGAGAGACTCTTCAATGCACTTTCTGGTGATCAAACATCACAATAATCTTATTAGACAAATTACAGCTCACTTTAGACACAATTTCAACTACTCCACAAACAGAACCAGTCTGCCTTTTTAAGTTTCACTGATTTGAATAATCAATTAGACATTTGATAGAAAGCTATTTGTTATTCATTTGTTTGTTATGCATAATCTTCATCAGATATATCACAGATTATTATTTTTATAATAAAATACATAAAATCAACTAAATTTGTGATTATTTTGGCATATCTGTGTGTATTAACTGATTTGATGCCCTTTAAACACGAGAAAAATAATTCATGTTTCAGTTTACATTTAATTTGGGGTTAGAGACTGATTTTTCCTCTGAAAAGAGGTGGTGCCCACACACAACGAGGTTAATTGCATAATAAATGCATGTCTTATGAGCTTAACTCATAACTGATAACTTACAATATATATCCAGCCCCATATCACCTACACTAGTATGTATGTATGTATTCATCCATCCATGTATGCATGTATACATGTTTTCATGTAAATATGTATGTATACATGCTTGCACACATGCATGTATTTATGTATGTATGTATGTATGTATGTATGTATGTATGTATGTATGTATGTATGTATGTATGTA